AAGAAGAATCAGACGTCGAGGTATCCATAGCAGATTATGATTATGATAGTGATCTGCAGTGAAAATATGATAACTGTGTGCGAAATTTAAATCAAACTGATATTAATTGATTTTACCGAATTAAAAAAATGGTGTAATATTTTTTTTTTTATAAAAATAAGTATAATGTTAAATTCTGTTCGACGTGTTTCCTACGCGTAGCAAACTTGTATTCAAGTGCTCGTGCTGACAAAAGCATGAGACTGCAAGATATGCTCTAATAGAAGGGAGTATTTGTTCTTTATGCGGATGCTCCCTAAATCAAATTGTATCGTATCGTTGTGTGCCCCGTTTGCGTATACTAAACTATAATCATGTCGTCAAGGATGCCATATAACAAGCTTGAAAATGGTATCTACATTTTATGATTAATAATGATAATTATAATATTGAGAGAAAGAGATGCTGCACTGCATCATACATAAGATTGTGGAATCGAAACTTATAACTTCAGTAGTACAGTTCTGCGAAATCGTGAAACTTGGGATAAGAAGACCTCATGCAAAACTTTGTATTATTTTTTAAAAGCTCGTAATTATTATGTAAAAAAAGCGCGCATGTATAATGAATATTGTTTATTTTCTAATTATCTGGGCATAGTCGGGCAATGTGTTATAAACATCGCTTACATCGCGGGCTTAATTATGTGCATTAGAGAAATAAAGATTATGGTAAAGACAATAGAAATGGATGGCCATATGAAATATTGACTGATTCGACACCTGATACGTCATCCGATTCATCCTCCGAAACATCAGACGCTGAAACAACACCGCCCGAACCAGTTCCGGAGCAGTCGTGGGATTGGTATCATTCTTAAAATTAATAAAATTAAAAAGTAATAAATTATAAATGTTTGTTTAGAGTGAGGTGGAACGAACACCAGAATATTATAAAGAATAAAGAAATGTTCAAAATATACTGTTCACAAAAGTGTTTAATGAAATAAAACAAAGCACAAAAAAAGAATATATATATATATGTAAAGTAATTAGACACAAAAAAAATAGAAAGTAATTGATGCAGTAAATTCTTATTAACTGCACGTTGCAGCGGTGCGATATTGGCGAGAATACTAAGTGCAATTTTGGCGCGAACTCGTAGCTATATTTTTGGCACGACTCGAAGCTGCGGCGTACTTAGAGGCACTGAGGGTGCGACTTCAAGAGCCTGGTGTGTCTTTAGGTTTCGGCGGACCTTGGGAGAAAAAAAAGAAAAACACGTCAGTTCTCTCGGGGGAAAATAATGGTCTCTCTCGATTTCGCTCGGCGATGTTGTTAGGCGGCAACGATGCCCTTGGTCGAAGACAAGAGGCGCGTTTTGTTATGATTCGCAAATTTATTTTTCGCCGCTGTTTGGCTCTCGACAGATTTGCAGAGTTTTGACCATCTCGCAAAAACACAAACAGCGCGCGGACTGCGTGATCATTTCCGCAACATTTTCCGCCCGCCTCGTTAGTCGCATCTAACGATAAATGCTCGCGATTCGCCCAGTCTGGTCGGCCGCTGCCGACAGGGTTTTGCAACGCTTTGCGTCTTGATAACGAGCATAGGACCGGTCCTGCTGGTTGAAAATTGTAAACGAACGACCGGCATTATTTTGATGTTAAGTGGCGCGTTGTCTGTGACGAGTGACCCTGTGACGACAATCTTCCGAGCTCGGGTCCGCGAGGCCTCTGCAGCGCTGACGACGTGCGGGGGTGCACGCCATTGCGGCAGGCCCCCGCAAGCACTGCGCGGTAAAGCTCGCGGGCCGCAGGTAAGCTCTTGCAGAGCAACGTGAAGTCAAAGGGCAACTTGACTGGCATCGCCTGCTCATGTGGTATTGAATGTCGAGGTAAGTCATGTCGCGGCCCGGTCGTCTCGGCTACTCATCAGCTGGTTGGTCCTCAGGTTCCGTGTCTGCCCTCGGCAGGAGGATGACCTTGACCACCGGTCTGGCCAATGTCGTCGTGGCTGTCCGCAAGCTGACCACGCGCACCTGTCCATCAGCACCAGGATGAACCTCGGTGATTCGAGCCAACGGCCACCTGCTCGGCGGAAAGTTCTCTCCGCGGATAAGACACAGGTCGCCAACGGTCGGGTTGATGTTTTTCCTCCACCATTTCACACGCGAGGTGAGTGACTGCAGGTATTCCTTGGACCACCGTGACCAGAAGTCATCCCTCATTCGTTGTAGCAGCTGCCACCGCGTGAGCCTGTTGAGAGGCTCCGATGTCAGCGACGGCTCAGGCAGCGATGTCAAAGCGGCTCCAATCAAGAAATGGCCTGGCGTCAAGGCCGAGACGTCCTCCGGGTCATCCGATATGGCCTGCAAAGGACGAGAGTTGAGGCATGCCTCAATCTGTGCAAGAACAGTGCTTAGCTCCTCGAAGGTGAGTGTTGATTCTCCTATAACTCTCCTGAGGTGGTGTTTGATCGACTTTACGGCTGCTTCCCACAGGCCGCCAAAGTGGGGTGCAGCCGGAGGGTTGAACCGCCACTCCACCCCTTCGGAGGCAAGGATGTCGGCGATGCGCGGGCTTTCGCGCACAGCCTCCTGGAACATCGCTCGAAGCTGGGCATCAGCACCGACAAAATTGGTCCCCCGATCGCTGTACAGCGTGCGGCACATTCCGCGGCGTGAGACAAAGCGCCGGAAAGCCGCTAGGAAGGCATCCGTGGCATAACTGGACACCAGCTCGATGTGCACAGCCCTTGTTGCAAAGCACACAAAGATGGCCAAAAAGGCCTTGTGCGCCTTGTGTCCTCGACCTGCTGCTGTCCGAACCTGGACCGGGCCCGCATAGTCGACTCCCGCTTGGCTGAAGGGACGCGATGCTGTTACCCGCGGCGGTGGTAGTTGTCCCATCATAGGATTCGGGGACGCCGCCCGCCATCGCAAGCAAGTGACGCAGCGATGAATGTGGCGTCGAACCTCCAGGCGTCCTCCCGGAATCCAGTATCCTTGCCTGACCATCCCCAGAGTCAGCTGCACTCCGCCGTGCATGGCTCGGCGGTGGCACTCCCGAATCACCAGGACGGCGAAGTGCGACCTCCTGGGGAGGATGATCGGGTGCCTTTCATCCGGGTTCAAAACAGCGTGTTTGAGCCGACCACCGACTCTGATGACGCCATTCCTGTCCACGAATGGATCCAGCCTAGCGAGGACGCTTCTTCGCGGGACTGCCACGCCCCTTGACAGCGCTCGCCGCTCTTCCGCGAATTCCCAGGACTGCACATGACGGATCCAGCGAAGTCGGGCCGCCTCGAGTTCCTGAGGCGACAGCGCGGACATCGGGGTGTATGGAACGCGCCGCTCGCCGAGCCAACGGCAGCACCACGCAGTTACCCTCAGCAGCCGCTGCAGCACTGAGAATCGTCGCAGCATTGGACATTCCTCGGCTGATTGGACCGCTGCAAGATGCACCTGACGCCTCTCCTCCTGCGGGTCACCCATCGGCAGCGGCGTGCTCGCAGGAAGCGTGGCGTCTCCAGACAGCCAGGGCGGCCCGCTCCACCACAGCCCATGATCCGGCAGGTCGCTGGGAGACAAGCCTCGTGACGCGCAGTCTGCTGGGTTCTCTGCTCCGGACACATGATGCCATTGGGCGTTGGGGAGCCTTCGCTGGATGTCGGCGACCCTGTTGGCCACATAAGTTTTCCAGCGCGACGGGTGACTCTGAATCCACGCCAGCGTCACTGTGGAGTCCGACCAGAGGTGAAGAGGAGCGGACGCGATGTCCATGACCTTGACGACGTGCGCTGTCAGCTTGGCAAGAAGCGCCGCCGCGCACAACTCGAGCCTTGGCAGCGAGACCGGCTGCGCAGGGGCCACCTTGGTTTTCGCCTGCAACAAGAAAACACGGCGCTCGCCCTCCACTCCTCTGGTGCGGAGGTACACCACCGCAGCGTATGCTCGCTCGGAGGCGTCTGCGAAGCCGTGCACCTCCAGGTCACTGTTTGATCCCTTGCACTGTGTCCAACGAGGCACGTGCACGCTCTCCAGAGCGGGGAGCTCGTCGCGAAAAGTTCTCCAAGTCCGCTCTTCCGTCGGGGGGACAGGCTGATCCCAGTCCAGATGCTGCAGCCACATCGTCTGAATGAGAATTTTCGCCTTGATGATCACCGGCGACAGCCAGCCCATGGGATCGAATAAGCGAGCCACTTGCGAAAGTACCACTCGCTTCGTCACTCGCTGGCTGCTCAGTTGCTGTACCCTGAAGGCAAAACAATCCTGGCGAGGATGCCAGCGGAGGCCGAGCGCGGAGTGTCCCTTGTCGCTCTCCCACTCACGCAGGTCTCGCACTTGACGTCTTTCCTCGGGGATGTCCTTGAGTATGGCGTTTGCATTGGCTGACCATTTGCTAAGAGGAAATCCGCCCGCCGTGCAGAGGCCGATCAGCTCGTCGCGGAGAGCCTGCGCCTCGTCCAGGGTGTCGGTTCCCGTCAGGATGTCGTCCACGTATGCGTCCTGCCGCAGCGCTGCCGCAGCGCGAGGAAATCGCTCTCCTTCATCCTTCGCCAGCTGCCGGATTGTGCGTATCGCGAGGAATGGCGCGCAGGTCAGGCCGTAGGTGACCGTCTGCAGTTGGTATTCCTGCAGCTCAGCGTCAGCCGTCGGCCGCCATATTATCCTCTGCAGATCTCGATCGTCGGGATGCACCAAGATCTGGCGGTACATCTTCTCGATGTCAGCGGCCAGCACGAATTGATGCCTCCTCCATCTCAGGAGCACATCACTCAGCGCTGGAAGCAGATTGGGACCCGCGAAGAGGTGAGCATTAAGCGAGTCACCGGAATTGAGGCGCGATGACCCGTTGAACACTACTCTGATTCTTTCTCTGGTGCAGCTTCCTTGAGTACGCCGTGATGCGGGAGATAGCATGTGCGCGCGCGCTCGACCTCCGACGGCGGGGAGACTGCTAGCATGTGGCCGAGCGTCTCATACTCTCGCATGAAGGTGCAGTAGAGCCGATGCAAGTCCGGGTCTTTCGCAAACCGGTGTTCCATGCAGCGAACCAGCCATGCGGCCGTGCGCTGCGTCTCGCCGAAGTCTGGCAGCGTCGTGGTAGTCGGGAGGCGCACGACGTACCGTCCCTCAGGCGTGCGGCGGAGCGATGAGACATAGAATGTCTCGCAGCGTTGCTCGTCCTCCGTGAGCGGCGTGGAACTGGTCGGTGGTTCTTCCTGGCTCCAGAATTGACGCACCAGTCCCACGAGGTCCTCGTCTACTTGGCAGTGATGGGATGATGCCTCCCCGGACCTTGCTGCGCCGTCGACTTCGCCCAGGAGAATCCACCCGAATGCCGTGCGCTGAGCCATTGGAGCGCCGGGGCCGCCTTTGCGTACTTCTCCTTCCATTATTGCGGAATACTCCTTCACCCCAGCAGCAGCTCCACTGGGTCGCTCGCTCCATAGTCTGGGTCGGCGAGACACAGATCCTGGACGTGGGGCCAACTCTGAGTCGTGGCCGGCACGCAGGTGTTGCTCGCAGTAATGCGGGGGAGGATCAATGCGGAAATTCGCATTGCAAAGTCGGAGTTGCGCGACTTCAGCTCAAGGGGCGTGCCCCGCAGCCTGCCGCTTCGCCGCCCGATGACACCGGAGATGGACATAGAAGTGGCGCGACGAGGGAGATGCAGTCGCTGCACCAGCGCCTCGTGGACGAGCGACACCTCAGATCCCGGGTCGATGAGCGCACGGACTGCTTGTAGCTCGCCATGTCTGTTCTTGACGTGTATGCGTGCGGTGGCCAGGAGGCCAGCGGCACTATCTTCTTCGTGGTGGTAACTCACGTGTAGCGATGTCGCGATAGCTCCACTGGCTGCCGACGTTGTTGAACAGGCTTCGTGAAGCGTGGAGTGATGCCTCGCGTTGCAGACCATGCAGTTCTTCGCAGATCGGCACTCGGCTACAGGATGCTTGCCAAGGCAGTTCAGGCAGAGGCTGTTTTCTCCACGCACTCCTTCCTCTGCGCCGGCAGCCTCTTGCGGAACTCAATGCACAGGAGGATGAAGTGATCCTTTTGACATAGTGGGCACCGACCTCCTTTCTGCTGCTTCTGCGCCAGGTTGGCGCGCGCCGACCTTGAAGACGCGCTCGCCGACCTGGAGGCAGAAACGGATGCGGGCTCCTGCTTCGCAGGATGCAACGCTTCTAAAGCTCGCAGGCGGCTCTCGAGGAACGCTCTCAGCTCATCATACGAAGGCGGATCTCGTGAATCGCAGATTGTGTCCTCCCACTCGCGTCTGGATCGAGGATCTAGCATCTCGATCACTGTGTGGACGAAGTGGTCGTTGTCGTATGCTGCCTTGCGACCGATGCTTTCCAACGTGCCAGCCGTCTGCAGTATGCAGTTGACCAGCTTCTTCAAGTCGGCGACGGACTCATTCTTCATTTTAGGCGTTGCGGAGAACGACGAGAGGCACGAGCGCACAAGGACTCGCCTGTTTTCGAACCGATCCTCGAGGATTGCCCATGCTCGTCGGAAATTGCCTTCCGTTGTCGGCAAATTGCGAATTCGATCTTCGGCTTCACCTTGCACTCTTGTTTTCAGGTAGTGCAATTTCTCCACATCTGCCAGCGAAGGATGGCGATCCAGCATCGACAGGAACAGGTCCCTGAACGCTGGCCAATCCTCAATGCGACCGGAGAAATGTGGAAGCTCGATGTTGGGCAGCTTCCGCTGCGACGCGGGCTCCGAAGCTGCTATCATCTTTCGCTCCGCTCCGCTCTCGGCTTGGAGCGAAGGGAATGCAGCAAATCCAGCAGAGTTGAGCGCTGGTCCATCACCCTGTCTTCGACCGTGACAATCCAGCTCGACTTGAAGTAGTCGTGGTCAGCGAGCACCTTCTTATGTTTGGAGCGCAGCTCTCGTGATTGAGCTGGAACTTATCCCAGTTTGCCTTCCATTAATGCTAATTATCGTTGTTTGACATTCGCCATACGGCTATTGATAATTTTTATCGTACAATAGGACTTTTCGATCGTTCGCTCTCCGCGACAATGTCTCGATTGAACGCGCCGTCGGCGCTCGCGCTGAGCGTGCAAGGACCGTGCGTCGCCGAGGCCTGGCGCGAGGTACTATCAAGAGACACGGTAGTGTCTCGCGACCAGTTAAGGGCGTAGCCGAGACACCGTGTATCTTAACGCGAGTCGGACATTTGAGTCTTTATAATATTTCGAATTCTCAATAACGGCTGAAGCAATCGAGTTTATACTAGACTTAATCGATAGATTGAGTTTGAATTATATAATAAAAGTGTCTTTATTTCTGCTCTACGTGATTTGTAAGCAGAGATATATAATTGCAAAGTCGAAATATGAAAAATTTCTTTTAAGAAACGTCCCCGTCATCATTATTATCATCACCACGCAAACATAGTAGTATCGTGCTACACGTATTCACACGTATACAACACATGCGCACACATATATCACACGTACACAACACATGAATAGATGCATGTATTGGAAATGTCCATCTCGCACGTTTTACAACAGACGGCGATAGTTGCCCTCCGCTATATTGACAGCGTGCGGGGTTAGATATTTTCAATTTTCAATTTCAATTTTTACATTCAATTTTAATGTTATTATTTGCAAATTTATTGTCATAATAATTTATGTGCAAGTTTACAGTCTGTGATACAAAATCAATATTTTGCTATTATTTCAATCAATAATATTATATAAATGCCTAATGATGCCCTATGTTTAAATAATAGCTTCTATTTTTTTATTGCTTCGCAGTTATTTTTCAGCTCACTGTTATGGCTTGTGAGCATGGGTTGGGCATGGCAGTTTTGAGCAGCTTAGCAAATAAATCTAATATCAGTGCTATAGGAACTATTTTACAATTTTTCTGGCATTTTCTTATTGCAGGTACATATATATCCAATAATTAATATACAAAATTAAATATTATTCATCACACACTTTGTATCAAAAAATAATATATTTTTAAAATTTATTTAATCATTTTTATCATTGTGATTGTAGTGGCAAGGATCTTATTGCTCAGTGTCATTGCAAGCATCTGGCCTGTATATACCATAATATATTGCGTAATACATTGGCTAAGTATGACAATATAGATTTTGATAGATTCCCATGGAATATTGGAATTTTGTCGGACTTACAGTCATCCACCACATATGCAGCCTACAATTAAAGAACGCATTTATTCCATATGATTTGCTTCCGTTATTGGAATATTTAAAATAAAAATTTTATTAATAAATTTCGATGAAATAATTTATAAGAGGTTGAAGAAACTATGAAACAAATTCAGTCTCATAAAAGGGTAGTTGGAACAATAGTGGTGAATGCAGAAGGTATTACATGAGATCATTGACATGATTTACTTGTAGTTGTAAACAAAAATTTATAAAATTATATTTGTTTTAGGTATTCCTATAAAGTCAACATTAGATAATACGACAACAGTTCAATACGCAGGTTTGATAAGTCAATTGTCAGATAAAGCTCGTTCTGTCGTACGTGACTTGAATCCAACAAATGATTTAACTTTCTTGCGCATACGTAGCAAAAAACATAAAATTATGATGGCACCAGATAAAGAATTCATATTAATAGTAGTACAAAATCCAGTTGATTGATATTTAAAAGAAACAAAAATATATTTCAAAGTTAAGATTTATTTTTTGGTTGTTAATTTAATCTGTATGCTACATTGGATGTTAATATCTATTCAATTAAATAAAGAAAAATAAAAGAATAAAGCTTAAAAATTATACAAAATGCAGTATTTAATTACTAATTTAACAAATTATGAACTTTTAGAGTTTTTAAATAGTGCTTTCTTCTTTGGTAACAATATTATATTTTTAAGTTTGATAATTATGAAAATATGTATATATAGTAATTCATGGCATGTTTATTTTTGTATTTAATACAATTATAAATGTACATTTCTCATCAATAAAATATCACAGTATCTTTTTTATAATTTAATTTTAATATTGAGATTGTTTTTATTCAGTGGAAAAAAAAATGTGTAGTTGGTCCCTATTAATTATACATACATATAAGAGTGTCGCACAAATAATTCTATGCAGTCTTTTTAAGATAATATAAAAATACTTATAAATATAATCAATTAAAATACATATAATCAAAATTGTATGTATTAAAATTCAATAGCATATAAAAAAGATTTTTTAAAATTATATATATATAATAAAAATCCAACATTTTATATATATATATATATATATATATATATTTATTTATTGTATATCATAAATATATATTTATTTATTTATATTTACCTATCTTTTTTTATATATATGGTAGAAATACAATGTATGAGTTATTTTATTTTGCAAAATTTTTGAAAGTTAAACTATTAATTACAATGAAATTATTTCATATAATACCGAGATTCTTTTCATAATAAAGATTAAGAGAGAGTTAGATTTTATCATAAGATTTATAAAAGTCATAAGATAAGGTTAATTGCATATTGTATAGTTTATCTCTCATTTTTTAAAGTAAATAAATATCAAAGTTACATTGCTTGAACTGGTGCGTTTGAAGTATGTTGTCTTTTTGAGGGATGCAAGACAATATAGTACAAAAGCATTGCTGTAATTCCCAAGAAAAAGGAAATGATACAAATAATAAAGATTATATTAAAGTACTAAGCCTCTTTAACTGCAGGAGGACAAGCATATTGCCATAATAAATTTGCTGCAATATTTTCAAAAAAGCAGATAACATAGAAAGATAGATGTTTTCAAAATGTTTTGCTATCTACAGCATTGAGATATATAAAAATGTGCACTATGCCAATAACGGAAGCAAATAATATGGAATAAATGCGTTCTTTAATTGTAGGCTGCATATGTGGTGGATGACTGCAAGTCCGACAAAATTCCAATATTCCATGGGAATCTATCAAAATCCATATTGTCATACTTAGCCAATGTATTACACAATATATTATGGTATATACAGGCCAGATGCTTGCAATGACACTGAGCAATAAAATCCTTGCCACTACAATCACAATGATAAAAATGATTAAATAAATTTAAAATAAATTTTTAAAAATATATTATTTTGATACAAATTTGTGTAATGAATAATATTTAATTTTGTATATTAATTATTGGATATATATGTACCTAAAATAAGAAAATGCCAGAAAAATTGAATTTGCTTATTTATTTAAAGATGCTTATCATATACAAAAATGAATGATATAATCTCTAAAAACTCACCTTTAAAAAAAGGTAAAAAAAGGCGACCAGTTAAGGGCACGCCATTAACAAAAATTATCCATTGCAAACCCATGTACAATAGAATTGTATGAAAAATTATCGATTATAAACCCATGTACAATCGTAACAAAAGTAATGAAATAAAAAAAAAATTGCGCCAAGTGAAAGTAGAAACTTGTACCAGTGGAAAATTAAAGTTGCAGACATATATAGAGTCGTATAATGAATCAATAAAAATTTAAATTTGCAAATGTAGAATTGTACCATAAAAAAACTTATCTTTAAAAAAAAAGATAAACAAGATGCCAAGTCCATGCGCCATGTGAAAAAGTGTTAAACAAAAAAGTATTTTTAAGTAAAAAAATCTATCAATTGACAAAAATTTATGTTCTAAAATTAATATCTCTACAAAAAGTAATGTCCAATTATTGCGCGAATAAATAAACATTTTTATAAAAAATTAAAATTTAAAAACTTATGCAAATTTAAAATTAATATAAAATAAAAAGAAATCAAAAAAATTTTAGTTAAAAAAACTGGGCGCGCTGCAATGAGTTTAAAAGTAACAATTTAATTTTAATATCATTAGAATATTATTTAGCAGCGCGCCCAGTTTTTTTAACTAAAATTTTTTTATTTCTTTTTATTTTATATTAATTTTAAATTTGCATAAGTTTTTAAATTTTAATTTTTTATAAAAATGTTTATTTATTCGCGCAATAATTGGACATTACTTTTTGTAGAGATATTAATTTTAGAACATAAATTTTTGTCAATTGATAGATTTTTTTACTTAAAAATACTTTTTTGTTTAACACTTTTTCACATGGCGCATGGACTTGGCATCTTGTTTATCTTTTTTTTAAAAGATAAGTTTTTTTATGGTACAATTCTACATTTGCAAATTTAAATTTTTATTGATTCATTATACGACTCTATATATGTCTGCAACTTTAATTTTCCACTGGTACAAGTTTCTACTTTCACTTGGCGCAATTTTTTTTTATTTCATTACTTTTGTTACGATTGTACATGGGTTTATAATCGATAATTTTTCATACAATTCTATTGTACATGGGTTTGCAATGGATAATTTTTGTTAATGGCGTGCCCTTAACTGGTCGCCTTCTTTACCTTTTTTTAATAAGAGATACGTCGCGCTCGGCGCGTCGAACGAGTCGAGCGAGTCCGGACGAGTCGTAAACGTACTTTCTCGAGTCTCTCGCCACTCCGGCGTGTTTCGACCGCTCTCCGTACCGTCGCCGACCGCTTGGCCGGTCGGTTGGGTACTATAAGAGGGTAGGAGAAATTAATATTGTACGTGTCGCGCTCTCGACGTTGACAAACGAAGAATCGCCCGAACGGGTCGAGAACGGATTTTGTCGAGTCGCGACTCTGACACGGAGAGAACATTTATATAAAATGTTTGATTTGGAAACCACGAATATATAAAATAATATACGATCGT